AAACAATAGTATTAGTAGCATGCATGCTAAGAGGAAACTAAGAGGAAACTGATGCCTTATCTCTAAAATATTAAACTTTCTATTGCAGGCACTGCTTGAGTTTTTACAACGTGTGATTGACCAGCAGGCCAAAAACAAGATGACTCTCAACAATGTCTCTGTTGTCATGGCACCCAACATCTTCATGTTCAAAGGCTTCCGGTCCAAGGTGACAGAGCAGCAGGAGCTCTCCATGGCAACCAGTACAGCCAACATTATCCGGCTGCTGATCAGATACCAAAACCTCCTTTGGACGGTAATATGTCATAGTAAACTAGAACACAATTAGTAAATCACACACACTTTTTTTTTTTTTAAGTGTGCTGATTATTCATGAAAATGTTTTTCTGGAAACTGTTTGTACTTAAAGACAATTTTATCTCTTTATTACCATCTCCTTAAGATCCCAAAGTTCATCTTGACTCAAGTCAGGCATCAAAATATGGAAAACCACCGGAAACTAAACAGGGAGAGAGCTGTAATGAAGCTGCTGAAGAAGATAACCATTGAAAGACCAGTTGACAAAACAATCCCAGAGGTGGGAAAGGTTCTTTTTTCTTATTAAGTTGCGATAAATAATTTATTTTTAGAAATACCTATTGGTAGCTTTAATGAAAAACTCTTGTATAAAAATTATGGCCTTGGGTACCTGTCATTCTTAAATCTTTGTTTAACTGGAAACAGGACAAATTCAACATTTTCAGAAGTAATTTTTTAAAATCTTTTTACAGTTTGGAAGTGAATGCCAACAGGGACAACATTGGCAACAAAATAAAATTGTTTTTTTTTAATATATTTAATGTAAGGAATTATATTGAATTATTAATACTATATTATTAAGAATTTAATTGGGATCACACACAACACATGAAAGATAGGAATAAGAATCCCAACAGTTCAGTTTAAGAAACAGAATGGAGGCTATATTTGTCTGTTGAAAAACAGTGACATCTAGTGGCGATGATGTAGAATTCCAAGGGCACTTTTGAGCAGTTTACACTTTACAGGCATTTGCAGAGCAGGTTTAAGCCCTTCCTCAAACCTTTTCAGTCAAAAAATGCTAAAATATGATTCACCAATGTGCATTTATCTCTGATGTGATTGGCCTATTACAAGAGAAGATATTAGATGGGTAATATCTAGACTTCTTATATAATACCTTAAGGGAAGACCTTAAATTGATTTTGTTGTGATGATTATGAGAGTAACTGTAGCAACGAGATTGTGAAGGTGAATTAAAGGAAGAATTTGTTTCTAATTTCTCATCTAAGTGTTTAGGATTACAACCTTGTATTTATGTGTGATTTCATCTTTAAGGTTTTGTTTTCTTACTCTGCACATATCTGTTTATTACCAGGAGAATCCACAGGGATTTATTCGAGTTCAAGCCCCACAGTTCAGTAAAATATCTATGGCAATTCAGCTTACAGATGATTTGCAAGCTGCTGATGTATTAACTCGCTTCCTCAGCCAAGAAAGGTAACTTGTTCAATTATACTTGACCCTCTTTGCGGCAATAAAAAGTTGACTGCAGGCCTCTCTTCCTTTATTTCCAGTTCGTTGTCAGTGAAAAAAGAGGACTTGTGTCTCTATGAGATTGGTGGAAACATCAGTAAGTTTAACTCCCAGCTCTACTTCATTGAGCTGCTTATTTGTTTGTTTGCTTCTCTTTTATACAACTGTATACAGCTAATGGTAATCCACTTGTATATATTTTTTTCTTTAAGAGGAGAGATGCTTAGATGAGGAGACATACATGCAAGATCTTTTCCAGCTGAACCCAGCAGCAGAGTGGGTCATCAAACCAGTACAGCGATAAATTCTGGTTTGCCTTCTCATCCTGCTGGATCCTGGACTGCTCTGTGTTTTCTGCTCAGACAATGAGGCAGCTGGTTCTGTGAAGCTTCTGCAGGATCTGGAGGCATTCGGAAAGCTTCCCCTTCGGAAAGAAGGCTTTGACCTTGGAATCTATGAGAGGAGCGGGCAGTTTGATTGCTCTTTATTATATGGGGGGAAAAACTTGACTGAAAAATCATTTTCAAAAGTGCTTTGCATTTTAATTATTCCCAGGGAGATTTCTTTAAAATGCCGCCTACATTTTTACCAATGCTGCCTTTCTGAAGCTAGACTGTTTTATTGAGGCTTGAGGTGATAGTCCTGCAAAAATGTGGAGATTAGACAAAGAAATTGTGAAAAGAGGTTAATTTTTTTCACCTTCCTGACACAAAAGTTTTTAGAGCCTCATTAGCTTCAAATGCTGTTTTTAGCACTCTGACACGTCTCAGCATGATGCTGCCACCGCCTTGTTTCCCAGTAGAGATGAGGTGTCCAGTATAATGTCTAGGTTAATTTTTAATAGAGTGCATGTGACCTTATAGCTGCGGGGTTTGCAGCTCCTTCAGAAACACACTAAATCTCTGAATAATGTGCTCATGGCCCAGACTGTCATTAAAAGTAGACAGCTTTGTATTTTTTGTTTTGAATGTCTGTCAAACGTCTTTGATTTGGGAAAACTGGTTTAAACAGTTCTCTGGGATGTTGGATAAATTTTTTCTAACCTGGCTCTACTTTGAGCTCCTCCACAACTTGTCAGTTGTGTTTCTTGGGCTCCATGATGCTTTTTAATGCCTAATGTTTTCTCCAAAACCTATTGGGACTAATTAGAACAACAGGTTTGAATAGGTTTACATAAAGGTATCAAAGTAAGGGGCCCTGATTACCAATTAGCTTTATTTTATTTTATTTTCAAAACATGTAGCTGTTTTCTTCCACTTCAGAACCTATTTTTTTAGACATTTTTTTTTTTTGTTGGTCTGTCACCTAAAATTCTGGTGGCACAATAAAGTTTCCTTCTAATGTGATTTAAAAAGTGGAGAACTTCACAGGGAGTATATATTTTTGCAGGGACATTTAGAGAAAACCACTTTTTAGAGATCTTTTTCCACTGGTGGAAAATTTCTTCCTTTTTCCATAATGTGATTGATTGCTACTATTTAATGTATTTGCAGTAATTAGATAATATGGTGTTGTGCAATAATTTAAGGCAATTAGTAGACAATTGTTGTTTTTTTCACTATTCATCTTTTGTTAATTTGAGAATAATTTATGTATTTTTATTTTTTAACCTTTTTTTAGGTAATTTTATTACCACTTTGTTGGATTTTGTTGTATCAGATAAGTTTCCCAGAAAGATTTCGAAAAGGGAATAAGGTGTTGTTTCAGTCTAGCTTTGTCCAGGTGATTTAAACTCCACTATTAGTTATATTTTCTAAGTATTAAAAAAAATAGATCAAATTAATAAAAATCTTATAGTCTCTGATTTGCAAGGACCTGCAGCGAAGTCATAAATGAGAAAGTTTACGTTTGAGTAAAACCTTTTAATCTGTGGTTGTTTGAGTGTCTTAACATGTGAATGCAGTGCAATCAACACAGCTGCCTAAATATTAAAGAGACTGCATTTGTGCTTATGCAAGTGTGTTTATGCAGTGAAATGTTTTTACATAATGATTTTGGGGCTTTTTTTGCCTCACCAGGCACTGTTGCATACTGGCAAACGTGTTATTTCTGAAAAGAAGATGCGTGTTTGATCTTTTTTTGCACACACTGTGCCTTTAATTACAAGTTATCTAATTGTTTCTATATCTGCACTGCAATGTCTAACTTCCCAAATAGATAACTTCTGGGAAGTTGTGGAGAGTTGACAAGAATATGATGAACTATTTTGATTTGTTTTAAAATGTACACTGTCACTTTCTGTAATATATGATGTTGGCTGATTTGTTTTCTAAATGATGTCTTTGTCTTAACTGCCTTTTAAATCACCACCATGACTGCCTGTAAATAAACTTCAAATGATTCGTTAGCACATCTGCTGCTGTAACTACTAAATTTGCACATTATTTCTCAACCATTTATGTCTGATTATGGCAGCTTTAGAAGTACTATTTCAGACATTTTAAGGAAACATGTAACAAGCTGCCAGAAATGTTTTAAGGGCTATTCCATATGAATAAAGCAAAAAAATATAGTAAATACAATATCAAAATCTACATAATGTAGGGTTTGATATGTTGCTATATATCTAAATGTTTGCATTAAGATAATCCAGGATCAAGTCTGTCTTTCCTTGATACTATAAGCTGATATCCTTCCATGTGAATGCAACAGCTTACAGAAATGTTTAGTGCATTGAAATTACGGAACAACTAGGACAGTGATACTAATATCACTTTAAATATCCCATAATGCTGAACATTGCATGGATTACTTTATTTATATGAAACTTTTAGACAGATTTTTATTTGTCATTTTGTTTACACAAGTGTAAAACAGAAATTTCATTTGGAAAAAGCTCACTGGACAATTTCATCTTTTAAAAGTGCAGCCTTGAAAAATAGTAAAAATGACTAATGACAATTATTTTTCAAATATATATATATATATATATATATATATATATATATATATATATATATATAAATAATGATAAAAAAATATATATAATAAAATACAATACAGTTACCCATTCTACAAAATGTTTAATGTGAAAGATATATGAAATGGAGACCTCCCCTTAAATAAACACATCTAAATGAAAACTGCACCACTATATACTTTATATCTCCATTTATCTGTATTTTAATGTAAACAAAATGTTTCACAAATGTCCGATGTACAACATTTCATAAATTCACAGCATATCTTGGCTAAATGGGTTGTATAATCTTTGTAGACATTAGTGATTGTTCATTTGCTGATGAAACTGAAGCACCAGAGTGGCCCAAAAATAACCATCCCCAACTTTCTGTTATCTCTGTCATGTTTCGGTGTCGTGGACCAGCTCGTCACCTGGAAATATAATTGTGTATCCTTCTGATTCGCTAACCGGTTTTTGGCCCGTTCTGATTGGCTGCTGTCATTTAGAGCGTGTGCTGATTGGTGGAATTTCTAGAGTAGGAAGTGATGATCTTTAGTAAGAGCTTAATACGGTTAGCTAGGTGAGGTAGTCTTTGACTTTAATGTATTTATTTAAATGTCAAACCTTGCACTTTAACTCTACTACTCTCAGTTCTTTGATTATACTTGTAATCTTGAATTTATAAAAAGGAAACGTCCTCTTAGGTTGACATTTCGTCATTTTTCTCTGCGACTGTGTTGAATTAGCTTGTTAGCTTTGTGTCGTTTCAGTTGAAATACTCTCCTCGCTAGTTTTCTCGCATGGGGTATATCTTTTCTTGTTTGACAGCTGGGCGAGCTAAAATTAACCACCTTTATATGTAGTGTATTGGGTTCTGTTCGGTCAGTCTCGTGTGGGACAGTTTATTTTTTGCTACTTTTTGCAGCGTGAACGAATGTTTGGTAATAGAAATAGCAGCGGTTGCAGCTAGCAGATGGTTGGCTCCTTAACAACAACAATGAGTTGTAAGGGGGGTCCAAGGACGGCTAAAAGGCTTTATTTTGTTGCCATTCTCCTTCTAATCTCCATCAATGGGTTGACAGCAGGTAAGTTACAAATTAAATTGCTTCAAGAAATAATGCAGCCAACTACAGTGTGTTTGATAACCAATCGCACGCAGCTGTTGTTTTGGTATAAGGAGAAGCATTGTAAGTAAAAAACTATGTATTTTTTTTGCTGTACTTTAATGTTTCAGACGAAGATCAACACAGGGACGATGGCTCTGAGTTAAAGGTGCGTTTTGAGTTTTTTGTTAAAAATAGAATAAACCATATTGGAAGACCAGCATTTCATACTAAAGTGTCTGTTTACAATGTAATGTGCTCCAGGGGATTTTGAGCTAAGCTTGTTTTGTTTTCATTTTCGGCTGTGATTATAGAGCTAAAAAAAAATAACTACTTGAAACTGATTGTAGTTTAAAAAAGTTACGGAAATCATTTATATGGAATAATGGAAATGGGTATTGCAACAATATCATAAGTTTGACTGTTATCCTGCAGTCCTAACTCAACTATCATCAAATTTTGTTTTATTCTGCTTTACAAAAAGGATGCTTAGTCATGAAAATGAGATAAGTGTATTGAACAGATCTCCAACTCTTTATGATTTGGGTGATCTTTTATTTTTCTCTCTTGTTATTTGTAGTCATATCATGATCCAGACTCTGAGGAGGAAGATGTTCATATTGTATCAAGAATTTTGGCAGCCGCCTCTGGGACTCGCCGTCTAGATGGCACCCAATCAAAGGAGGAAAAACAATCTCTTGGAGAGACGGAGGAAAAGGAAGAACTACCCGAACAGCCTCCTCCTCCTGAGGAAAAACCCAGAGAAGGTGAATGAGATTTACTTTAGTTTTCAAAATTAAGGAAAATTTTATTTTTTTTAAATGTATAGGATATAAACTGATTTATGTGTATATATTTACTATTTAAGGCATTAATCTCTTTGTTGAAATTAAGAGTTTATATCCGTGTTGTCACTACATCAGAGTTGTTGATCAGAGTATTTATTTATGATAAGTTAACCTGCAGAAAAGCACAGGTACTTTTTAGAAGTGCTACTGTGCCGTTTGGGTGGTAACTGAATATAAATTAGGGACTCCTAAATGATAAAACATTGAAAATAACTTTCACTTATGTTGTAAGCTTTGGTAATTCCCAGCATGTTGGCCTGCTTTCTCTCTGGCTTACACTAAGCAAAGCAGCATGTGGGTTTATGCAGTACTGCTATGGGTAAACGGTTTAACTTCATGAGATATTAACAGCTTGCTGCAGCTGTGGCTTCTGCTGCTTACACCCTTTTACTCTGGGACTGCGTACACTGTTCCTATACAGTCGTTTTTATAACATGTTGAAGGTGTATTAATAATACCACTCTTTCCAAACTTTAGTCCAAGTTTTGTTTTGTCCATTTTTTTAAAAGGGAAAATATGATAACTGAAACTTATTTTTTCTCTTTATTTTTTTTATATTTCAGTTCCTCTTGTAAATGGCGGCACATCCCATGGGGAGCCCTGCATCTTTCCATTTTTCTTCCAGGGAAAAGAGTACTCTGACTGCACCACTGAAGGGCGGGGAGATGGACGGCTATGGTGCGCAACATCCTATGACTATGACCATGACAAGAAATGGGGATTCTGTGAGAGTAAGTTTTCAGCTGAGGTAGAGCTGTCCCTCCAACTTAAGATAAGAAGTTTAGAAGTTGTAGGGATGGGAAACCATAAACATATCATAGTTTTCTTTCAGTTTATTATGGCTCCCTTCTATCAGTACAGGATTTCCATTCCTTTTAAACTTCTTCTTTCTCTCAGCGGAGGAGCAGGCGCAGCAGAGACTGCAAGCTGAAGAGACAGAGGAGCAGTATCAGACAGTTTTACGCACGCTTAATGGCTCCACCAGGAAAACTCAGAAAAAAGAGTAAGTTTATTGCTTTCATTCTGATGATACAACTTTAGATCTCCAGACCTAATATTAATATTACCCTCATGAAAATTTAGTCATTTATTTTCTTTTTTTATTTATTTTAAATCTTAAGTCCAGTGTTTATTCTCCATTTGATATATCCATGCAAGTGTTGGGTTCACATGTTTCCTGCAGTGCGTTAGACTGTTACAAGTTAATGTTGGAGAGATTCCCAAAGTTTCCTGTTGTACTTCTTTATCAGTTCATTTAAAACTAGGTCTGACATGTGTTTGGGATCTTTGTCCTGAAAGTCATAGCTGGGTCTAGACTGTTTGGCTGCCCGTAGTATCAGGACTAGTGGTAGTCAGGGCTGAAAGCCTCATTTTAACTCTTCCAGTCACCCTGGCCAAGTAAGTCAGTGTTGGTCTCATCAAATCATAAAACCTTTCTCCAGATTTTTCACTGGTCTTCCTGTTTAAGATCACCATCAACTTTGGCTCTTAGCTACATCTTGACCACAACCTTTTCTAGCAGCATATACATTAAAACGCCTCCCCTCTGTTTTGTTCTAATTACTAGGCAGCGCTAATGAAACTTTGCACATCCTTGATTGAATTGGATGCAATTCTTTCTCAGGTTGTACGAAAAGCTGTTGAAGGTTGCAGAAAAAGGTCACCAGAAGGCCACAGAGAAGGTGGCGTATGCCATGCTGTTTGGAGACTACATGAACCAAAATATCACCAAAGCCAGAGAGATGTTTGAGAAGCTTGCGGTGGAAGGCTCACCTAAAGCTCAGATGGTAAAAATGTCTCACAGCTTAAATGCAGATCGGTTTGAATGACTCTTAAGTTTTGTGTAGGCTTTAATATGAACTATATTTGTATTGTTTCTACTTAGGCTCTTGGCTTCCTGTATGCAGCAGGACTAGGAGTTAATTCAAGTCAAGCCAAGGTATTTGTTTCTTTATCACATTCAGGCTCATCCCTCACATTAAATCCACTCATAAGTAAATTCTCACACATTATGCTGATGTTTTCCAGGCATTGGTTTACTATACCTTTGGTGCATTGGGTGGAAACTTAATAGCTCACATGATTCTGGTGAGTTGAGTTGTTCATCTAATTGCTTATCGGATAGACGTGTTATTTTCTTTCATAATAAATTAAAAATGTTCCTGCATTATGATTAGGGGTACAGGTATTGGGCAGGTGTGGGTGTTCCCCAGAGCTGTGAGTCAGCACTAACGCATTATAGAGTGGTGGCAAATCACGGTAAGTTTTTCTTTTTATAGTTCATATGGGTGCAGTTTCATTTTACCTCGAGGTTATTTCATTTTTTTTATCTATGTTCCTACTCCGGCCTTCCGCACCTCCAGTGGCCAGTGACGTGTCGCTGACGGGGGGCTCGGCAGTGCAGAGGATCAGACTGCTGGATGAGGTGGAGAACCCGGGCTCCACTAGTGGGATGCTGGAGGAGGACCTCATCCAGTATTACCAGTTTTTGGCAGAGAAGGGAGACGTTCAAGCTCAGGTATTTCATTTCAGTCTTCATCTGCATTCCTTCTGTTCTTAATCATCAATATAAGTACTTTGGGTAAAGAAGACTTAAAGTTTATACCTCTGGAACTTTTCCACACTTTGTACAAAAACAGACTTCTATGCTTTTAGACAAGTGCAAAAAGAAAATGACCACGCATGAGGAAGAAGGTGCTCTGAAAAGGAGAAGCATCATGAAATGTTGAACCTTTCAGTTAGCTTACTCATGGCCTGGTGCTTCGTGGGTTTATGTTTTCCATTCTGTGGCTTTGGACAACTAATGTCAATCAGGCTGAATGGTTAGAAATGTTATTTTGATATGGAGTTTGTGGAGCTTTGAATTTGAATAAGCTTAAATTATATTAATGAACAGACACTATGATGATGAGTCAATATATATATTTTTTAATGAATAATGATTAGGCAGATTAGATTGAAATATTTCAACCCCTCCCATCATACAGAGGTGATTTTCCTAAGGTTCAGGGAATCCTGCCCAGAGCTGATGGGAAGATGGATTATCTTACACATCAAGTAAACTTGGAAGAAAACTTGCTCTTATTTTTAAAAGATGGCTTTAATGGACCTTAATATGAATTCTATGCTTTTATTTTGGGTTTTACATGATTATCACCAGTTGATTACAATTATGTGCTAAAGTTGCAGTAAAGTACATTAAAGTTTTTTTTTTTTTTTGACAAGGCAACATGTGGAAAAATCTCAGTTGCCTTCCATACTGTTGCAAAGCAATTTATAGCTTAACCAGATACCAAAGGAACATATGAACCCCTGCTGCCAACATGGATCAGTACCATCCAAAAAGTAGATCTCAGTTTTACTTGAGATTATGTGAAATACTGTTAATCTGTTTGCATTTTTAGGTTGGTTTAGGGCAGCTCCATCTACATGGTGGACGTGGAGTAGAGCAGAATCATCAGGTAACATTTTGCCTTTGGTTAACATATTTGACACCAAGTCACCACAGCTTTGTTTTTCCCTCTGCTTAACATGTTTTTGCTGCTTCCTGACCAACAGAGGGCGTATGACTACTTCACACAGGCTGCAAATGCTGGGAACACACATGCTATGGCTTTCCTTGGCAAGGTTGGAGCGATTAAAAACTATTTGCTCTTTCTTGTATATTTCTTTTACACTTTTATGTTTTGAACAGATCATCACAGTCTGAAACCTGAAAGAAACCTGCATTGAGTAGTCTTCCTCTTTAATGCCAATGTTTTGTTCACATTTCTTGACTCTAACATTGCTAGAGTGAAGTTAGCCACTAGATTTGTTTTCACAGAATTTATGGTTTTATTTCCCTGAATGTTTCCTCCTCAGATGTATTCAGAAGGCAGCGAGTTTCTCCCTCAGGACAACGAGACAGCTTTGCAGTACTTCAAAAAGGCCTCTGACATGGTAGATATGAACCTAAACACTTCTTTAATAGTATATGCATTTAATCTGCTGGTCCTTATTCAATACATTGTATTTTTTTTTTGTTATCCTATCTCTACCGTTCAGGGTAATCCAGTGGGCCAGAGTGGACTGGGCATGGCGTACTTGTATGGGAGGGGCGTCCCTGTGGTAAGAGACACAGCAAACTGAACTACTAATTTGTATTCAAATCTTCAAATCTATTCAGAGATTTGACTGTTAAATTAAATCATGTCTGACTTTTATAGAAACCAATTGTTTTACAGCAGTTACCTGCTTTTTATTTTATGTTTAGAACTATGAGTTGGCACTGAAATACTTTCAGAAGGCAGCAGAGCAAGGTTGGGTGGATGGACAACTCCAGCTTGGAACCATGTATTACAGTAAGATGGAAATTACTGCAGTTAATTCAGTTTAATGTTTTGCCATTTCTCCTGTTTCTCGTTTAAATCTCTCGTGTTCTTCCTGCTTTATTGCAGATGGTATTGGTGTGAAGCGGGATTATAAACAAGCGCTCAAGTTCTTCAACCTGGCCTCACAGGCCGGCCACATCTTGGCTTTCTATAATCTGGCCCAGATGCACGCTACTGGCACCGGAGTAATGCGCTCCTGCCACACTGCAGTGGAGGTATGCTGCACATCTGAATTACATGTAATAAAATGCTTTGATCACTCTCTTGATGTGCTGAAATGTTTTTATTTTAACACTCAGCTTTTTAAGAATGTATGCGAGCGTGGACGTTGGTCAGAGCGTCTTATGGGGGCCTATGGCAGCTTTAAGGAGGGTGAGACCGACGCTGCTCTGGTTCAGTACCTGCTGCTGGCAGAGCAGGGCTATGAAGTGGCGCAGAGCAACGTAGCCTTCATTCTGGACCAGAGTAAGATATATTTATTTTTAATCAGGTGACCAGACTATTGATGAGTGAAATCTGACATGTTTTTGTTGCTGTGGGGATTTTTAATTAACAGAAGGGGCAAATATCTTCAGCGACAACGAAACCTACCCTCGTGCTCTCCTTCACTGGACAAGAGCCGCAGCCCAAGGTTAGCACATGGTTATCTGATGTTTTTCTGTGATTGTTTGTTCCCCTGATCAAGTTAAATGTTTACTATTTGTCAAATTCATTGTAAAGCATGACAACACACAAGGCTTATTTTGCTCTGGCTAGTACAGGAAACTGAAGCTGCAGATATACCACTTTAACATTTAACACTGCTTTTCTGTGCTGTTTTAATTGGGGAGGTCGAACATAAGGGGTTGATGGTTCACAGCTGTTCATTTGCTGTCAAGGTTACACCGTGGCTCGGATCAAACTGGGAGACTATCATTTCTACGGATATGGAACAGATGTGGATTATGAGACTGCGGTCATTCACTACAGACTTGCATCGGAGCAGCAGAACGGCGCCCAGGCCATGTTTAATCTGGGTTACATGCATGAAAAAGGTCTGGGTATCAAACAGGTGAGTGTGTGCTGCATATTTACAGATCTATGTATTTGTTGTTGTTATCCATTCTATTTACAGGGTTTCCACGGGTCATTAAAAATCATTATTTTTTAAATTAAGGCCTTAATTGGCATTAAAATTCATTAAATGTGATTATTGTGGCATTTGAAATCTCTATTTAAAACAAAGTTTATAAAAGGAATTTTGTCAGATATATCAGATTTAACTGTCTCCGCGTGTTTGTGTGGAACTGCTTCCGGTTGATCGTAAAGCCGTATGTTCGGAAAGGAAGCTCGAGGCTTAGGAAAAGCTAGAAAATATAAACAATAAGCAAATATAAGCAAATATAAACAAAAGTGACTGGAAGACGAGGAATCTCGGGACATGGCTGCAGCCTGTCGACGGTAAAGATGACGAAGTATTTTGCCATGATATATATGAGAGTCATGGGTACGTGTTGATGGCATTAAAATGATTTCTAAGAGCATTACAGAGCATTAAATTAGAGTTACTCATTCCAGTATACACCCTGATATAATGTTACTTTATCAATCTATAATTTTGATCTGAGTCACCTTTAAAAGAAACCAATGCTTCATTACAGTTCAGTCATGGTTATAATACATTTCAGTCAAAATCAGTTCACACCAGTTGTTAGGAACTTTCTATCCAGCCTCCTATGTAAGCACTTCGCTACGGTTTAGTGCATAACATCCATAACTGAGTTGAATTTATAAAGCTGCCTGTCTTGTTTTATTTTTACTTGATTAATGATGTCTGTTTTGTCTGCAGGACATCCATTTAGCCAAGCGTTTCTACGACATGGCTGCTGAAGCCAGTCCTGATGCTCAGGTCCCAGTTTTCCTGGCTCTGTGTAAACTGGGCCTGGTTTACACTCTGCAGTACCTGCAAGACCTTAATGTAGGTGTTTGTAGCATCGTGTTCCACTAAGCCTAACTCCAATGCATCTTTTTATGCCTTGATAAGTGAGATTAATTACGTTTGTTCAATTTTCTTCTCCCCCCCCCTTCCTATTCCACGTTGTGCGTAATCTTTGTAAGCTGAAGGAGTTGATTTCTCAGGTGGACCTGGACCAGCTTCTAGGCCCAGAGTGGGACCTCTACCTCATGACTGTCATCGCCCTGTTGCTGGGCACAGTCATAGCCTACAGGCAGCGTCAACACCAAATCATCATGCCACCCCGCCCCCCTGCCCCGGCTCCTGCACCCCCCCCAAGACCTGCTCAGGAGGAGCCACAGGCGCAGGCAGAGCCTCAGGATCAGGAAGAGACGGCAGCCCCAGGAGTAGCTGAGGAGGAGGAGGAGCATCAGTGAGAGGAGCCCAGAGGGAGCAAGGCGAGGGAAAGACTGAGGCAGAACTCATTCAAAACCTGCTGCTTGGAGCATGTCTCCCACTGCCTGCTCTCTTCCACATCATTAGAAAACTCTTGGCTGCTGAAACTGTTCAGCTTTTCTCCATTTGAGAGGTGATGAAAACAAACACAGGATCTAAGACTGTTTTTTTTCTTTACTTTCTTTTTTCTGTGTTCAGGACTCTGCCAGAGGTAACCACTGCTTCATGAAAATTTATTTCAGTTTTCTGATTAAAAACATTTTAAAGTCAGCTGGTTAGAAGGAATCTGATTTTTGTTTAGTTTCCTCTCATAATTCTCTGTTTTCTTAAATGTTTTGGGGCTCAGAAGTGAATCTGATTTAATCCTCAGTAACATTTAGAAGAAAAAAATAGTTCAGCTTAGGATTGTGAAATTTATCTTATTTAATTTAGTAGTTAAGGACAAGATAATGCTTTTTGTTTGCAGAACTTTTGTTGAATCAGTTTTCATTTTAGCTTAAGTTATTTCAGCTGGAATCCATGCAGCTTTAGTTTCTTTACTATAACATGCTAAATCCATGTGCTTTTGATCAGAAAGAGGAATGATGTAGAACACGATAAATGGTAGAAGTTCTAGAGTCGAAAGGATTATAGTTTGGTTTTAAACAAGGAACAGAGGAGCCTTTAAAACCTGGCATCAAAAATACAAGGAAAATGTGAGAATTTTATTAAAGAATGATGCTGGTTTTAAAATATATATTAAAGGGCAAGAAAACCTCACCTATAATATGCTGTTCACTGTCTTTCATTATTTTATGATGGGTTAATGTTTCTTAGACAGCCACTAATTGGAGAAAAATGAGCATAGCAAATGGATTTGTTATTTTTCTTCCCTACATTTTCTATTTATGTTTTTTCTTGGATGGGTTACAGGGCTTCTTATGCTCTGAAAGCTGCTACCCAAAAGATCAAAAATGGCGTTCTGGACCCATTCTTACACTTCTAAAGCTGACTCCATTTGGAGTAAACCATGGTTGCATCATAAAGGATTTTTAAAGTTTCTTCTCAGATCTGTTATGATCCTATTGGTTTGGAGAAGCTAATAAAATAACAGACATGTCTGCATGACATGCTGAACTGTAAGAACAGGGCAGCCGCATCTGGAGGAAGAGGATTCACCAGTAGGTTACCTCTCTGAACTGGTTTGGAACAACTGGATTTTTACCATCACAAAAACAAGTTTATACACAGATTAATAAATGATAATGGATATTTGACTGTTGGTTGTCATTGATTTAACCCTTTATAGATCACCCATTGAAATACTTTGAAATTTAAAGCCAGGAGTTATTGGAGGGCAAGACCTCATTACTTTTATAACGTAAAAAAGAAAAATTCATATTTAATGGAAAATATTAATGTAAATGTAATAACAAGAAATGGTCACTTGCCTTAATGTATTAAGGTACTTCTATAGGAAATTAATGAAAAACATTCAGAGTGAAAGAAACTTGTAACAATTTTTTTTTGTTACAACATAACCTTAGAGTACTAATACTGATACAGGCATTAACATTTTTAACTGGCTTATAAACTATTTAAACTTTTTAATTACCTTTTAGCCTTTTTTCTTAACTTTTTCAACTTAATTTACAGTAGGTAATAAATCATTCAACGGCTCATCTAATTGGTGAAATGCAAAAATAACATAGAGCCACGTAGCAGTATCTGCTGAATGGCTGGATATCAATCTTGTGCTTCTAGACCTCATGAGGAAAGGTAGGACTCAATTTGTAAGGGGTATGCAAGTGATTAAAAACAGACTATAAAGGGTTAACCATCTTTTTTTGTTTTGTTAAAATAATACTAAATTTTTAAAATCTAGGCAAAAAAGTTTTAAATTTCAAACATTAAAATATGAATGGGAACTCTTATCTCTCAGTTTAGATTGGTTACTATCATCATTTCAAAGTGTGGCTCCCAAAATAACTGACTTAAATAAGACATTGCAGCATTGTGGTCCATACTATGGAGCCAACACCTGTCATTGGCCCAGCTGGCTGCCCTTCAGCTTGTATTGGGGGCGGTTGGTCAAAGTGACAGAGCTGTAAAAAAACAGCATCACATTGTGCAGTCTGTAGGGGTGACCTATTGACTGCTCCATACGCACAGCTATGGAGGGGCTTTTGATGGCGGTGGCATGTGTGTTCCTGTCCTGCTCTGTCAAAGGTAAGTGCTAGAACAAGCAGGCCTGTAGTTGTTATTGTTTTAGCCCCTCTTTATTAAAAAAGAGCATTAACGAAAAACTACATGTTTTGAAAGGGACAAAGGTTTCATAATCATAGCTTTGTGCATTTGTTTAGAAATGTAATTCAACAATGACAGAACTGAAGTGTTTTAAAGGAAATGACTGGTGGTGGGAGTATGAAGAGGGGATTCGACACTACAGCAAGGAGGCTCTAAATAAGGTACCGTTTAATTAAGTTATTTTACAAAATAACAAGGGTGCTATGGGATAAAAAGCCTGTCTATGAAGATACTAGGTTGAGTTAAAAAAAATCATATGTGCAAAAAAATATTTGTTATAGGTTCACCTCAATGAAGTTTAATGGTTGATTTTGGATTAATCTCTTAAAGGAAAACTTCGATTCAATACGTAAAGTGAGTTTATTTCTGTTTTTTTTTTTTTATGTCTGATGAAAACCATAAAATTGACTTCAGAAGGAATGCTGAGATCTGGAAATAGGACTGTTATTATATTTTTATAAGATGAAACCTTATGGGGAGGACTTGAAAGCCTCCCAACAGTCACCGAGACTCCACGGGGTTTGTTTAATCATACAAATGGAAAGTTGAGTGGGAGGAAAAGAGGAGACCCAACAGGAGGAACCTTAACCATAACAGCAAATTTTGAAGATTTTTTTTGCAGTTTTTAAAATGTTCTACTTTTCATTCCTCATGTCATGCAACACTTTAACCAGAGGCAATGTCTGCTTTAAGAAGAAATCAAACTAGGATTTTGCTCTGTGGTTAAAAGTCCTCTTCACATGGTGAAAGGCTCAGAATACAAACTGTTTGAAAGCCCACTGTGAAATTTCCACAGTCAGGAAAGGTTTCTGCTTGTGTTAGTCCACAGTCAAGGCAGCCATCTACCAGGACATTTTATAGGACCTTATGCTGCCCTCTGCTGTCAAATAGGAATGCACGGATCCACTATTTTCACTTCTGATTCAATTCTTGACCTTGGATATCTGCAGATCCAGATACTTTTTTAGACACCAGATCCTTTATTTCCTTATTATAGTTCAAAAATATGTACAGGAATTGGTTGTGGCTGCTGCTCTCTGAAACAGGGGAGGCTCAATGGTGTTAATTATATCCAAATGTTGAAACACATAAAACACATCGTTACAAAGGGTGAAAATAGCTGTTGTGAAGCGCTTTGAAATGATAAACTCCAGCAACCAAGGCAAAAGTTCAGCACAAGATGACTGTTCGGACTGAATGATCAATTTTCCCTCTCGAATCATGGGGAAAACCTCTCTGTCTGGCCACTGTCGGTCCAAAATCCTTTAGTATGTTGGCCAATCAGCATCGAGCAGCCAGTTCTCGACCCGCCCCTGCTACATACTGTAGATCCCCTAAGAGGTTTAGCTTCACTGGAGGTGACATATTTTGGCATATAAACCAATCAGGGCTCTACTGCCTCGCTGCTTACCTCTATAGACAGAGGCTCAAACTTAAACAGGGATTTATCATAGACACTGACATGCATTAATATATGGTCAGAAACAGTAAAATATGTTACAGGATAAATTCTATTCTGAAAACATATATGGGACTTTAAGGATTGAAAATGACTGTATTTATTACATTTAAAAAATGCCCATTAAGGTTTCAACTTTCCTGCTGTCCAAAAGATTTTTAACCTAATTAAATCTTATTATAGAAATGCACTGAATAGATCTGCCCCTATGGAGTGAACACTTTTTCACCGATTCAATATCGGGACCGATGCCAATATTCATATCTGATTGATGCATCCTGGACCAGTTTTTTTTTCAAATTGCTGATTATACCTCTGTGCTGAACATTGTGTCTTGGATATATTAAAGGTCTTCGTAGATACCATTTACTTTACTACTTAGAGAGAAATGAACCTTTTTAGCTCAGCTGTACATCATGCTCCTGAACTCCTTGAAAGCTACTTTGATGCAGTAATCCTGTGAAAGGTGTTTGAAGAAAGCAAATGGGGCTCGTGTTGTGCAGAATACTGACCAGCAGGGGGATGTATATTTAATTATATAAAAAAATCATTCTTCAGTGGTATTTTCATTTTTTGGAAGATTTAATAACATTGTTTGATATAATCCATTATCTCCCAAATAAACAGAATTATATACCACTGAAATTAATCTATACTATGGTATCCTTTTTCATTCAAAATTTCCAAAAACCGTAAATTAATAGACTTAAAGCAGTGCCATTAATTTGGTGTTTTAAGTTTATGAAATATTTTCATTTAAAATGAGCCTTAAAATAATTCAAGGCAAAAAAGAAATTAGGCTGCTATGTTTTGCTTCATCTAACAGGAGTTTCCTGAGAAAACTCGCCCGATCAGCTTTAAACATCCTGTGTTCCAGTGCCCTGACATGACCCCCTCTCCCTCTGTCCCCTCTTCAGGTACGTTCATGTCCCAAATTACTCCTCTTTCAACCAGTCATCCTAGAACAGGAGATTTACTAGATTCCACTGACTTTCTCCCCTTTTTCTGTTTTTTTTTTTCCCCCCTCCAACATTTGGTTAGTTGAATTTGTGAAGGCAGCGGATATTAAAGTCATTGCCGCTTTGGGGGACTCACTAACAGTATGTGTTTTTGGTTTTACATTTAACAAGTGTCTCTTTTTTCAAGTTCAACTACTTTTATTATGATAAATTTAATGAAAAAACCCACAAATATCACAGAAATAAATTAAGTCTGACAAAAGTAAACCAAAAATAAATAAATTCTTTTAAAATAAATAAATTAAAGTCAAGACATTGCTTTTCAACAGAATGATTTTTGAGGGGAGTGGTGACCTAGTGGTTCAAACAAGAACAAACTCCCTGAATCAGTCCAGGACAAAAATGATGGTATCATAACTGAATTTTCAGGCAATCACTGCAATGCAACGATTACTGAGACTTCAAGTATTTTCGTCCTCTCATGAGCAAACTGTTCCAGCTGCAAGGGGGCCTTTTTCCAAACAGCATGTTTCAGCTCCTTCCAAAGATGCTCATCAGGATGTAGATCAGGGCTCATAGAAGGCTCTTCTTGGCATTTCTCAGTGTTCTTAACTTCATTTTTCAGGTTGTTATCTTTTTGCAAGATCAATAAACAGGGACTGAGATCGAGCGTTCTGACACTGGCCAGCACATTTCTCTCTAGAATCCCTGATTCAAGAGATTCAAGACACCCTGTGCCAGATGAAGGAAGGCAGCCCCATGGCATAACAGAGCCTTCTCCATGTTTCACAATAGATATCGTTATTTGATATGCTTCATTTTCTTCTGGATGCACACAAAGCTTATATGCCTTAGCAAAAAGTTCAATTTTTGTCTCATCTGTCCGTACGATATTTCCCTCGAGGCGTTGTGACTCATCAGTAGTGGTTTGGTAAATTCCAGTCTGACCTTATTATGAGTTGTTTTCAACAATGGTGTCTTCCTTGGTTTTCTCCAATTAAGTCCAACTTAGCTCAAACAGTGACGGATGGTGTGATCAGATACTGAAGTGAAGTTACTTTATCTTGATTCTGGTTTGTTTTGTTGCCATTTTGTTATCAAAGGAACATCAAGCTGCTTAGAGGTCGTTTTAAAGTCTTAATTTTTAATATGCTTGTCTTTTTAATTTTCAGAGACTTGTCTTTCCGTTACTTCCTCTGGTCCATGTTGGGTGTGGTACACACCACCATGTCACCAAACAGCACAATGACTACCTGTAGCCCTATATATATAGGCCCACTGACTGATTACCAGATTATAGACACCTGTGATGTAATTAGTGGACACTCCTTGATTTAACATGTCCCTTTGGTCACATTATCTTTAGTCTTTTCTAGGGTTACCATTGCTTTTGTCCAGGCCAATTGTTTAAAATTATTCCGTTGAAGCATGGTTGAACAGTAGGGTTTGACTTTAATTTGTTAATTTTGATATGTTTTCCTAATATATTATAACCTTTGTCTCATTAAAGTTATTTATGTGACCACTGTGGGGTTTTCTTACAATAAATATGGGCTGCAACAATTCTTTCCATATGTATAGATATATTGAATGTAAAAGCAGGTATCAATGTAGTCCTATTAGCACCCTGCAGTTCACTGAAACCTTTGTTCAATGTTAAGATATTAATTAATACTCTAAGGTAACGGATCCCCTCTGAATATTTGTTCTCAGACAGCGATAGGTGCTAATGCCACAACTGTGCTCGGAATCCCTATAGAATTTCGCCATGTGTCATGGAGGTGAGATTTACCCTTTACGATCAGTAAATGTTTACCTGCATCATATAATACATTAATGCATGAGCTGTTTGACAGAAAAACTATTTAATTTTCTTTTGAGCCAATAATATTATCTGCCCCCCTTAAAGTATTGGAGGTTATGGAACTTTTCAAGACGTGATAACTTTGGCCAGTAAGTTGTGTATTTTTATTTTCTTTCCTGTCTAATCAGTTTTAAACCAGATTTTTTTTTTCTCCTCACAGTTTTCCTCCTTTTGTGTTTTAGACATCATCAAACTATTCAATCCCAATCTGCTTGGTGCTTCTCCTGGAAAGACTATCCATGGGATGCAGGCTCATATCAGTGAAACGGGTTTTAATCTGGCTGTGACTGGACACAACACCTTGTAAGACCACATCCCTGTAACAGACACTAATCTCTAGGTGAAGAGGCAGTGTCTGAGTGACGATATCAACCTCTCCAATGCTGTTCATATCATCTTCTGATAGATACTTTTGCTTCAGGTCTTACAAATTCATATCTGACTCTATCTCATGTTTTTTTTTTTTTTTTCCAGCAACCTCCCTGGACAGACGAGAGAATTAATTGACACTCTGAGGCGATATGAGGTAGTGTGGGGCACACTCCCTTTGAACTAAAAAGAAAGCTTTAGAGCTGTCTTTCATGCAGACTGTGCTTTGTTTCTTCTTCAGGGCCTCAACTTTGAAGAAGACTGGAAGCTTCTAACTATTCTTATGGGCATGAATGACATCTGTGATTACTGCAAAGATAAGGTAGTAAAGTAGTTATTTTCCTTTTTACGCTGAATTTAGTTCAGAATAAAAACATTTTTCTTAATATCCTTTGTCTCTCCCTCTAGACTATGTTTTCAGTGGATAACTTCATTCACTACATGACCCTTTCTCTGGAAATGCTCATGAATGAGGTAAAGTAAAATGAGACACGACTCGGCTGCACCTATAAATCTGTCAAAGTAAACGTTCTCATAGGACTAGTGGTGTGTTTTCAGGTTCCTCGTATGATTGTCAACGTGGTGCAGATCCTACCCATGCACACTTTGAGAGAGGTACAGAAGCCCACCCCTGGGTGTCTTCTACAGCGGTGAGCCTGTTGTAATCAGGATGTCCTTTACCTGGTCGGTTTGCAGTGTAAATACAAGCATATGAGATAATAATAGGGGATTTATTTTATGCATTCTAATTCATCGTTAAAAATTTGAAATGCGGGTATAGTTTGACACTCATTGCAGCAGCATTCGCGTCGTCTTAATCCTTGGTGGATTTTTTGACTGTTCATCAATTTCTTAACCAAATATTCACCTTAGGGTGACAGCATTGGTCTGATGGATGAAACTAGGGTACCGTTGGGAGGTCTAATAGCACAATTATTCCACACACCCACTTTTGATAGTTGCCTAAAGGTGTGTCTTAAGTCAGTAAAAGTACCAGTTCAAAAAAAAAAAAAAAAGTGATGTTGCTTCTTTGCAACTTATCAAGAAATATTTAACCAATTATTGGAGGCTGTGTACACATTTAAAAGCCAGTAAGTCAAATACATAAGCAATCTACTAACCGTTTATCACATTTAAAGTTATAAATGTGTAATAATCAATTTTTTAGGATATACTGCATTTTATTTTGTAAAGTTTGTTTATAGGATTGGGCAGTACAAGAAATGCAGTCTTTTTATCTATTTTTGTGATCAGTCCTAAAGAATTTATCTACGATACATTTACAGCTTCTCTATCAAGACTTTACTCCTGTTGTTCCCTTGCCCTGTTTTCTGTCTGTTTAAGGTCCTTCTGCTCCTGCCTGATAGAGCCAGTTTCCAGATCTCCTGAACTTCAGGAGCTTGTTGAAGTCAATCTGGAGTTTCAGGTGCCTTTACTCATTCTCACTGTACAACATCAAGAATTATGTTTTTCTCTAAAATTGATATTTATTACATATTCTGATTTTATGGTTTGGACTAGCTTCAAAATAAATACATATAAACCATTTCTGCACTGATAAACTATTTTATGTATTTGCTTATTTGTTTATCTGTTTATGCTTCTTTTTGGGATAGATCATGATGGCTAGCAGTATTAATGAATCAGGTGCTAAATATGAATAAATGCATTATTCTAGAAATGTAGGTGGCTGCATGATTGTCATCCAGTGAATGACTAATTAAATGACTGAAAATCTATTTTTATTTAATTTTTATTTGTTATTATTTTTGCAGAAAAGACTTGAGGAGCTTTTGTATAGCGACCGCTTCTTCAGGGAGGATTTTGCTGTTGTTCTTCAGCCCTTTCTGAAACACGCTGACCCTCCTCGCCTCCCGGTAATCTGCTTCACAGCAGGGAGCTAATAAGAAAACAATATTGTTGTGATTTGAGCATCAGCTTTCAGGAGATGAATCAGCGTGAAAGTTTGCACAGAGAATTAAATCCCCAGGATCCCTATTCAAACAACTGGAGTTCTGTTTTTTGTGGATTGATTTGTGATTAGTTAGAGTTCATCACTGAATCTAAAAGGCGTTTTATCCCTTTGGCCAGAATGGGAGGATTGATATGAACTTCTTCACTCATGACTGCTTCCACTTCACCATTAAAGGACACGAGGAGCTGGCAAAAGGACTGTGGAACAACATGGTGAACTAATCCTTTAACTTATAAGTAGTATGTTTCTAAATGTGCAGCTACAAAAGAATTGAACTGAACAGAAAGATGGTTCAAACCAAATTTTTTTACCATTGGAGCTCCAGCTCATGTTTGAATAATCATCCCTTACATCTTAATCATTTATATTGTTAAACATCACTGCTATATCTAATCTATGAACCAAAGGATTCACTCTAAATGATCTTTTTATTTTAAAGTAAAATCTGAGCTGCAGCATATTGTCACATATTTTTTGTATCCTGTACACAGTTTCAGCCTGAGGGAGGGAAGATGATTGTGAGCAGTTTTTCTGAACCCATCAGCCTCATCTGTCCACCAGTGGTAAGTCCCATTGTGGCACCTTTAACCAGGTACAACAGACTAAAACCCAACCCAGCAAAGTTTTCCCCATATAATCACTGATTAATAACAGACAGTTACAGTTGATGAACATGACTATTAAAATGTTGCAAGCATATATACCTATATATATATATATATATATATATATATATATATATATATAT